AACTTCCTAGGCCATTACAGATCACAGCCTATCAGATTATGGATTGTTTACATCTGGGACATTGCATAGCTCTCTTTTAATCTCTATTCTATTTTGATTTTTTGTAATCTTGTTCTGACTGACTCCACACTCTCCATTTCTTTAAACCGGTAATAATGCAATGACCAGTTACTTTTATGGTGCCAAACTTTGTCACCATCACTGCACCCTGTGTTTTTAACTCGCAGTTAACAATTGCAGCGGAGCTAGCAGTCGAGTTGACCTACACATGAACCGACAAGACATGAATCTGCAAGACTATTAACAATACCCGAAAGAATAAAGGTGTATTATGTTATCTAAAGCTGTGTTCTCTTGTGTGAAAACTGAATTTGGTGTGAATTTTTTAAACTACTTAAGGAAATTTGAGCCGAAATTATTGTTCGCGCTACTGAACAATTTATGACATATATGCAAAGCATTATGAGAAAGAACTTCCTAGTTCACGTCATAGAAAAAATATTATGGTCCTAGATACTGACTAAATTATATATCATTTATTAAAAACATTTTTATATTATTAAGATTTGAATCGTGTAATATATGATTTGTCTTCCCTTGTCATCAAACATAATTTTGAGGTATAACAAAGTCTCGCCGAGGAAACCAGTGTGAAAATGCTAGTTTTAGTCATTTTCCATTACATTTTGAGCCGATACCCAGTTTTTGTTCATTTTTGGTATCCTGGTGGCATGAACCAATAATAATGAAAATATGACGAACATGACATAATTATGATTTCTGCTCGAATCTTCTTAAATACCAACCATTTCATTATCGAAACATAGTTTCTTTACTAAATTAGCAAAAATTCAGTGCAGCTCGTAGTTACGATACAACGAAGTTTGGTTCGTACTCGTTTGAATATGAATAGCTGCTCTCTTCGTTGACCTAAACATGAACCGAGTTGAACCGAATTAACAATCCAAGTAATGGCTTATTGTGTTATGGAAAATACGTGACTCGTGAACGAAAAGAAACAAAGTATCTTTAGTACACAAGTAAATGAAGAATGTTCCAAATAAGGCCAGTCGCGAACATTCGACCTATGGAATAAGAGCGAGAAAAATGTTGCATGATTGTTTATTTAGACAGAAATCACCAACTTTTTAGGTATTTCACCCAATGCGAAGTAACATGCAAAAATGGGCCTTTCGGTAACTGTTTTCGTGGGCATTTATGTAAAAGCATTATTTGATTAAAAAAATTACACTACACTACACTACACTACACTACTATACACTACTTAGGGTTGAGGTACAGTTCGAACTTAAAAATTATTTTAAGTATTTTTTTGTTCCCTTTGGAATCTGTAGTGAACATCTTCTTGACAATGACTTGCAACAAAACATGGTATTTATATGGGAATAGGGTGTGGGATTGTATGACCTGTGAATACTATATTAGTTTGAAAAGGTGCCTTTTAAGCAGCGTGGCATTGTCATCAACGAAACATGGGTCCGCGCCCATTTTGATTCGGGCAGCAAACGTCATAGCGGTTGTATACAACTATGTAGAGCGGCGACCTGCCATGTGCAGTGATTGCTATTTTACAGCCGTTTAACTCTCGTATTCATCCGCCGATAAAACAAGATAAGTTGAATTAATGAATCAGCAATTGATTTAAGAAAACAATTTAGAATAATCGCATGTTTTGTTGCGTTTATTACTTTTCACGTTTGTTGAGGCGTTTACGTTTGTGTAAATTCATCGTACTTTTTATTGATCTCGATTAATGTTAGGTCTTAGCGGTGTCTATTGGCCGAGATTCGTTCACTATAAACGAATGTGACTTTGGTGCAAAGACCCCCCCCCCTAGTACCCTTAAAAAATAAATGAAAGGAAAAGACATCTAGTTCAATATTTCATACCTTTATTTAGCTAATACAGTATATTTTTTTGAATTTATCATAGATGTAGCTCGGGGAACCTTCAACACTCCGAAACATAAATCGCATTTTACAAGGACACGGGGGAGTTGTATACCGAAGCGAAATTTAATATTTGTTACCTTGTTCTAGGAGTGACGTTATACATATTTGCATTGCATTGTGGGAATGCACTTTTAAGGTCCACATGCCATTATGGAATGAGCTATGTTGCAAAGCGCACTATATGGATCATCAGAATTGTATTTAGAGTTAAACCATCATTGGGGGTGGAGAGGTGTTAGAATGTGACCAGTGCACCCCCCCCCCCCGATGTGGTTTATCTGTACCTATTCTTGAATATGCCAACTTTATTTTCTGCAACATATCTCAAGTCACCTCCCCGTATTTTGATTGGTCGACCCTCTTAATATTTGCACAAAACAAGAAAGTCGGGAGAGACAGTGACACTCAATGTCGGCAATTGTCACTTTATACAAACATTTTTTTTTTAAATATGACTATAGATTTTTTTGTTAATACTTTTTGTTGTTAATAATCATTTTTGACATATAGTCTATCTGGTACTACGTTACATTGCCCTGTAACCATCTTCCTATCATAATGGCAATATAATGCAATATACTGGCGTTAACCAGACCTGGTCCTACATCATACGCACTCTGCTCTACCAATCATGAGTCAGATGTTCAAACCTCTATGCTACGAGTATAGTTTATTACGTTAAACATAATACAATAACAATTACACCATACAGGGTCAATATGCAAAGGGAGTCACAATATTTGTCAATAAAGTCCATGCCCCTTCCTTAAGTTACATATATCATTTTTGTGCATAGAAAACAAATTACATATTAAAGGAGTATATTTGTTATATTTATATTTTAATATTACTGTGGATTCCATGAAGACATGTTTTTTTTTATTTATTTGAAATATTTATAAATTCAATTGGCGGTTGGAAACAAGTTGACCAATCACAACGCGTTAACAGTTGCATGAACACTTGTGTGTAACGGGTGTTGCCAAATAGCTTACATAACCAATGAATGTGCGTTCTTTGGAATGAGGCCCGAGGGTCTTCCAGGACCTTATTTTATGAACATTTTATAAATTTCACCGTTTTCCAATTCATGTAACATAGATATACGCAAATTACAAGACGCGGTCAGTGACCACAACTGATCATGAATCGGAGGGTAGAAATGTGTATGCACATGGTTTCCACCCGCCATAGTTATATCACATTTTACTTTGTGATTATGTTACAGTAGATTAAAGCGGGAGGGTCGTCACCTGCGCACGCGCGGGAATTGAGTCCCAAGCGACGATAACACACGCTATAAACGCAAAGGTTAGGCGCTTGTTTGTAAACAATGATACGCTATGACCATCTAACGCACGCGCAGGTGACGACTCCCTTACTTTAATAAAACAAGTGTTGTCCACTAGTGTGTGAACTTTCTGAACAAAGAGCTTTGTAGAATAAACACGAAATTAGAGGATATGCTTATTGACCCCCTCAAAACACAGTCTACATAATGTAACTGAGTCCTAATAATAAAATAGCGACACCAAGTTTGGTATTTGACAGCAAATCACCGGCACCGGAACAATCATAGTCGACAGCGCATGCGCCATCGTTACAATTGTCTTCGTTACAGCAACTGGAACACCCATACACGTCTACAGAAAAATTAAAAACAGATTAATCAACTCGCATATAAGTTTCTGGTCACAATTTGTAGATTTCATATTCAATTGCGAATCTACCCCAGACCATTCGTCCCGGTGTTATCGCTATCGCCACACGAGACTCCAGCTTGTCTCCTATACAATTTTCCTTCCGCCCACTTAATTTTAATATTCATATGACCTTTGCACTGACATCGATAGCCAATCGCATTCGACCGCGGACGTCACTCTAAATAAACAACTGAATAAATTAATATACCATATTTGGAAGATAGCGGGTAAATTCAACGTTGTTGGTGTGTTCCTTCGGGTTCCGAAGTCGCACGAAACGAGTTCATGTTCCGTTATCTTTCGCAAGTAAAACAGGTCGATATGTATTAAACATGGCATTTGTTTTCTTGTTTTAACCTCCTTATTACGCAAGCTTCCGTCGAAGTGGTGTTTTTTTCGACGATTTGTGGCATGTTGCAAAACGAACGAAACATTGCGGCATTCTTAGCGGTGGATAAGGGATCGACTATGTCGTCACATTTATGTCTCGTTTGAAAGAGAATAAACAACCGCTCAGAAAAAATATGTTGCTAATATTTAAGTGCGGTGCCTTGAAATCGCCTGCCCGACGTCCAAATTTCAAAAGGATGTTCGATTTGCAATGACGACCGTTCATATGTACTAGGC